TTATTTCCTCTGGTGTCGGATGCTGTGCAGCTGGAAGGATTTTTATATAAATATATTTGCTTTTGGACATTTGTTATGATGTGTAACCATAACAACAAGATATCCTGATGCATGCTCAATAATCCAGGTAGAAAAATCTAAAAAAAATTAAATCTAGTCCTCTGGACATTCAAAAAACAAAACAAAGCAAAACAACAAAAAATGTAGAAACGTTTCGTCTTTCATCCTTTGGATGGACGTTCATCCTTCGGATGAAAGACGAAACGTTTCTACATTTTTTTGTTGTTTTGCTTTGTTTTGTTTTTTGAATGTCCAGAGGACCAGATTTAACTTTTTTAGACATAACAACAAGGTTGTTTTTTACAACCAGGAGCAGCTGATTAACATCTCCAAAGCTCAAATAATATCTCAACTACGGCCACAAATCCCAAATGAGTTGAAAAGGAGGCGTCGTGGATGCACAGCAGGAGCAAAGAAGAGGGAGAAAGAGAGAAGAATGACGTTCAAACCATCTCTTCCATCAATCATGATGGGCAATGTGAGATCGCTGGGAAATAAGTTGGATGAACTTCAAGCCCTAACAAGGACCCATCCAGAGTATCGTGAATGCAGTGTTATGTGTTTCACTGAGACATTGTTGCAGGATCATATCCCCGACTCCAGTGTTTCCTTGCCAGGCTTTCTGACCATGCAAGCAGATAGAGATTTAAAGAGGAGAGGCAAAATAAAAGGAGGTGGGTTGGCAGTGCTTGTGAACAACAGATGGTGTAATCCTGGACATGTTACTGTGAAGTGTCGTCTCTGCAGTCCAGATCTTGAACTGTTAGCACTAAGTTGTCGTCCATATTATTTGCCAAGAGAGTTCACCAGTGTTATTTTGGTAACTGTTTTCATTCAACCCAATGCTGTTGCCGAGACTGCGTGTGATGTCATCAGCTCAGAGGTTGCTAAACTACAGACACAACACCCTAGTGCGTTTGTTGCAATATCTAGTGATTTTAATCATGTTTAACTCTCTGCTACACTTCTGACATTCCAACAGTTTGTCACCTGCTCTACCAGAGAAAACAAAACGCTGGACTTGTTTTATGCAAATGTCAAGGATTCATACATTGCTAAAGCAAGACCCCCTCTTGGCAAATCAGATCACAATCTTGTGTTTCTCTGCTCAAAATATAAACCCCTTGTTCAGAGGCAACCTGCAATAAAGAGAACAGTGAGAAAATGGTCAGCGGAAGCTGAAGAAGCTCTGTGGGGTTGTTTTGAGGCTACAGACTGGGATGCACTGTGCCAGCCACATGGAGAGGACATCAATGCCATGACCGAGTGTGTGACCGACTACATAAACTTCTGTGTAAACAATACCATCCCCACCAGAACCGTGAGATGCTTCCCCAATAACAAACCCTGGATTACCACTGACCTGAAGGAACTGCTAAACCAGAAAAAAAGAGCCTTCAGGGAGGGAGACAGGGAATCATTGAAGAGTACACAGAAGCAACTAAAAGTCAAGATAAGAAACAGCAAGGAGGTGTACAAGAAGAAGCTGGAGAGCAAGCTCCAGCAGAACAATATCAGAGAGGTGTGGTCAGGGATGAAACAGATCACAGGCTTCAAGCAGGAGGAGGATCAGAAGGATGGAAGCCTGGACAGAGCCAACGAACTGAACACGTTCTTCCATAGGTTCAGTTCAGGAACAAGCTCAGCATCCTCCTCTCTTGCCCACAACCAAACATACATACCACCCTCCATTGACCCAAGGCTGTCCTGTCACACCTCAAATACTGTATCTACCACCTCAGTCATGGACCCTTCTTCTACATATTGGTCTTCAACCAAATCAGAAGATGCTGATACCTCCTATACCTCCCCCCTCTGCGTCTCCAGAAGTCAGGTGAGGAAGCAGCTGGAGACTGAACCGGAATAAGGCTGCAGGTCCAGATGGTGTCAGTCCCAGAGTCCTGAAGGTCTGTGCAGAGCAGCTCTGTGGGTTCTGCAGCACCTCTTCAACCTTAGCCTGACCCAGGAGAAGGTTCCAGTGTTGTGGAAAACATCCTGTCTTGTTCCAGTGCCAAAGAAAACTCATCCATCAGTCCTCAATGACTATAGACCTGTTGCCCTGACATCCCACATCATGAAGGTCCTAGAGAGACTTCTGCTGACCCACCTGACTAGACAAACAAGCACATATCAGGACCCACTGCAGTTTGCTTATCGGCATCGACTTGGAGTTGAAGATGCCATCATACACCTGCTTCAGCAAACTCACTGTCATCTAGAAAAGGCAGACAGCACTGTGAGAGTCATGTTCGTTGATTTCTCCAGTGCATTTAACACAATCCAGCCTGATTTGCTTTGTTATAAACTTCAGAAGACTCAGGTGGAGGTCTCAATCACCTGGATCAAAGACCACCTGACGGACAGACCACAGTTTGTGAGACTGAAGGGTTGTGTGTCTAACCAGGTGGTCAGTAGCTCAGGAGCACCACAGGGGACTGTACTCTCACCATTCCTTTTCACTCTGTACAAAACAGACTCCTGTCATCTGCAGAAATATTCAGATGACTGCAGTAGTCGGGTGTATCAGAGATGGACAAGAAGCTGAGTACAGGGAACTGGTGGACCGCTTTGTGGCATGGTGTGGAAACAATCATCTCATCTTGAATGTGAACAAAACAAAGGAGATGATTGTAGATTTCAGGAGAATCAGGAACAGGTCCAACCCTATTTCCATCATGGGAGAAGAGGTGGCAGTGGTAGAGAAGTATAAATACCTTGGGGTTCACCTGGACAACAGACTAGAGTGGAAATGCAACAGTGAAGCCGTCTACAATAGTAAATGGACTGTACTTATATAGCGCCTTTCTATCTAATCAAGATACTCAAAGCGCTTTACTCTACAACCTGTGTCCTCATTTACCCATCCACACAGCACTCTACTAGATCTCTACAAAGCTAATTGAACAAATCATTCTAAAGAGACTAATCAGTGCTTTAGATCACATTCATACACTGATGGGACACACATGGGAGGCGATGAGGGGTTCAGTGTCTTGCCCATGGACACTTTGGCATGTGACTGCTGGTGGATTCAAACCCCCAACTCTTGCATTGGAGGACGACTGCTCTAACCACTCAGCCACAGCCGCCCCTACAAGAAGGGACAGAGCAGACTGTACTTCTTGAGGAAGCGGAAGTCCTTCAACGTTTGCAGCAAGATGCTGCATATCTTCTACAAGTGTGTTGTAGAGAGCGCCATCTCTTCTGCATCATCTGCTGGGGGAGCAGCACCAGAGCAAGTGACTTAAAAAAGATCAACAAGCTCATAAAGAAGGCTGGCTCAGTTCTGGGGACTCGTCTAGAACCTTTGGAGATGATTGTTCAAAGAAGGATTCTTCATAAAATGAAGAAGATTATAGACAACCCTCAGCACCCTCTTCATCAGACTGTCATACAACAACAGAGTGTCTTCAGTCAGAGGCTTCTTCAGATCCGTTGTAGGACAGACGCTA